TTTCAAATTGAGTTAACAATAATGCCTGACCAGTAAATTACTTGGTGAACAAAGAAAACATTTTGGCATTAGGCATTGGAATTAGTTAATGCCTAAAAAATTTAAAGTTTTACCTTATAAATAGAATTTAGTTTAATTTTGAAATTCGTCGCCGGAGTAAATGGGAACATGATTTATTGAAAATATTTGAAAAAATAGAAGTGTTTCAATACTTAAGTCAATACTTTTTAATGGCATGTCAACTTTCCATTCCTCCGCTGCGTGACTCTAGCCAGCGCTGGATTGTTGTCAGCGCGAAACACATGTTTGAGCGCGTGAATGCAGATTCTAGCCAGCGCTGGATTCTAGTCAGAGCGCTGGTCTATAACTGGAAAAATAATATAGTCGTTGCAAAAGTAACGATACATAGCTTAGGCTACATGTACATTAAACTGGAAGAAGAATCACAACAAGCGTGTCGGTGAGAACACTCATTTAAACAGCATTCACACCCGAACTTGACTGCACATTATATTTTTGACATTATTGATACTGCTTTCAATCGTAATGCAATAGAAATGAACACAAAAAACCTGCTAGTATACTGACGGTGGACTTGCGGTCAGGAGTAGGCTAGAACGGCCGCGGACGAATGATTTTCTTTTTTTTATTTGAGCGCTGCTGACGTTTTCTTTCACGCGCACCATAGACGTGCGCGCACACACAATATGACATCACAATCTACGCATATGTTTTACAACATAATTTAACATATATGGTCCTAACACTTTTTTAATAGCCCACTTAAAGTGTTTATTACAAATAAATTACTAAATGCTTAAAATGAATCACAGTAAATGAACACAAATTTCCGTTACTCGTGAACGCCCCCCATTAACACCTGAACGCCCCCCTTTCAAGACTCTTGCGTCTAACGCCCCCCGTTGTTCTCTGAACGCCCCCTGGGGGGCGGTACCGCCCCCGTTGAGAACCACTACTATACAGTAACACTTGCAGCAATTTAAAGGTTTAATTTGCTCTCAAATCAAGCTCATGCACCACTTGTCAGTGTCACCATGATGGTAACTATCCTAAAACCAACATTAACAGAAATTCTTCTAAATTAGCATAACGAAACATTAATCATTACTAAATCACCCGCTTAACATTAATCTTGCACAAAAAAACATTGTATTACACTTAATTTTAGTATTTACTCTCCCTTTCGAGTGCCATCGGCAAGCCGTTTCAGTTAAACTTAAGTCTAAATTAAAAGAAACAATTTCATAAAACTCAAAACAATGAAACAGTTCAGTTTACTTAAAATATATCCATTCTGTGAACTTGAAAGAAAAAGAAAGTGCTAAATACTCATAAAAGTTAATTTGACTGAACTAATTAGTTTAATTTAAGTTTTTCCTACTCAAACCAATTAAGTATTTTGAGCGTTAGGGTTTACAGTGCTCATTTAACACTGATTTAACAAAAATTGAAATAAGATGTAATTTATTCGTGTGTGTGTGTGTGTGTTTTATTTATATATATATATAAATGTGTCCACGGTTGGGTTCTTAGAGCTGTCAGTAAGCAGTCATTTCTATCGAAGCTGATGGAAAACATTTCACAACAACCTGTTCCTATTTGAAAACTTGAAGATATTTTGTAAATCTAGAACAGTCCTTGTGGTTGCGGTTTTCAGTGGGACTCGCGGTTTGCAGTGTGTACGTGTGTATGTGCGAGTACGCTCACCTAGATGGCTAGAAGCCCAGGAAACCGTCCTCACGAACAAGCATTCATACACACATTTAAACTCTTGCTTTGATTCGAGGCGTTGTAATGTAGGGACTGGTGAAAGTGACTCATTTTTTCCAGAAATTGGTTGCTGGAGGATAGTGAGCCACATCTGTTGTAAGTGGTTCAAGCCGGTGTGTGTCTGGCTCGGTGTGGTGTGAAGCCTCTTCCTCGGGCAACTGACCTGAATGTGGCTTTTCGGCTCCGTCCATCTGATGCTGAAATGCAGAGGAAGTGAATCAGACGTGACGTGTGTTTGTATGTGGGTTTGATTGTGGGTTTAGGGTGTGGGTCTCTTTCAGGATGCATAACCATTTACATTTTGCTGTGTGATCTGTAATGTTTTCCAGTGAAGAGGCTGGTAACATTTTCTCGGTATCGGACACATTAAGCATCACTTGACGTTTCCAGCTCACTGATCAAAGGTTGCAAGGTGATGAGTGTAGTTTTCAGTGGTGTGAAAAGGTCGGTTTAGGGGTTGTTTGTTGAATATAAATTCATGTGGTATATGTAAATAAAATCCATAATAAATCTGTTATAATTTTTTTTTAATTGTTGTAACATCAAGAATTTATTTGTATTTATTTTTTTATAATATTTTTAAATCATTTTTAAGTCAAATTATTTTCTAGTTTGTATGGAAGCTCGTTTCCGCCACAGAATAAAACATTTTAAAAGATAAAACTGCGACCTTTTATCTCACAATTGCGAGTTTACATCTCGCAATTCTGACTTTATTTCTGCGAGATAAAGTCAGAATTGTGGGTAACACTTTATTTTAAGGTGCTTGTAATAAGCAGTAATTAACAGTTAATAAGACACTTATAAGACCTTATAAGATGCATGTAAGATGCATATAAGATGCATATAAGCATTAACTACTTCATATAACTTCTGAGGACGCTTTGTTTCACTTTTCCCGCTCTACTCAATCGTGCCGCCGACGAGCCTCACGACAGTTACAGCCAGGGTGAGTGTAGACTCCATCCCCTGGGGTCCAGCTGGGTCATGACCACTCCGGGGCCGCTCAGTTGCCTCTCCGGGTTCGTCTTGTGCTTTAATTAACCCTTATATGAAGTAGTTAATGCTTATATGCATCTTATATGCATCTTATGAGGTCTTATAAGTGTCTTATTAACTGTTAATTACTGCTTATTACAAGCACCTTAAAATAAAGTGTTACCGAATTGGGTTATAAAGTCAGAATTGCGTGATATAAAGTCGCAATTGCATTATAAAGTCAAACTTGTAAGATTTAAAAATTTTAAATGTAAAAAGTTTATTTTATTTCTCGCAGTTGCAACTTTATAACACGAAATTCTGACTCTGCAACTTTAAATCACGCAATTCTGACTTTATAACTCGCAATTTCTATTTTTTTATCACACAATTGGGAGAAAAAAAGGCAGAATTGTGAGATAAAAAGTCGCAGTTACCTTTTTGATTGTTTTATTTTATTAAATAGGGCTGTGTAAAAAATAAATGTATGAATTTTACATTTTTACCAAAACAAAAAAAGTTAATTCACAATTTAGGCCCTCAGTTTCTCCTGTCCTTTGTCTTGCATTGATGTTGATATTGTAAGCTAGTGTGTCACAGTCTGTTCCCATGTTCATTAAAATTCTCATTTCCTCTCATCTTTTGGATTATATACACAGCAAGTGTGACAATTACCTTATCCTATTTATTCATAATTGAATCACTGTTAAGACAGATCGTAAAACAACTCTTTTATATTAAAAAATCTGTACATTTATATGCAAAAAAAAGTCACTGATTTGAAAAGTTAGTAATAAAATGAACAACAAAGTGACGCATTACAAAGAAAAAGTGGCAGGTCTATTATTTTGCATTTACACTCCAAGCCTTAATGCACAGATCATTTGACATACAGGATCAGATTGTTTTGTTCCGTCCATCGCTCACTGTCCATTGCCTATTTATCACTGTTAGTCGGATTCAATCACGATTGTCAATCCAGAAACTTTGCAATGTGTGCTAAGATGACACAAGCATGTAACAGGCTGACCATTTGTGTTTTTCAGACAGCTGTACCCCATTGACTCTGAGGTGTCATATAATACAACTGAATTTGAGCGTCAGTCCTGCTACCCTGTCGAATCACAGTTCTGCTTTGTGCGTAACACATTTGGCACATGTCACACTACTGAATAATTGTGGTGGGAACAGTTTCAGAGGGGAAGAACAATTTTTGGGATAGCACAGGCACACATTGCTTAATGAAACAATATTGTGTGTGTTTTACTAAGAGAATGGCAGAGGATGGGGAAAGCTGATGAGAGTGCCTGGATAAAGGCTGCATAATCTCAGAAGCTGCGTGTGACCCACAGGGCTATTGCCGGGCCGCTGTCACACTTTTTTGACAGCATATTAATAGGGATTTGTGCCCCAGATGTCTGCCAGCACAGCATCGTCTGTCCGTAGCTCTGTCACTCCATTCTGCCATTCTTGCTTTGTATGCAAACCTGTCAGGAACGGGTGAATTACTCTGGCTATGTGCGATTTAGTTCTCATTCTTCACTTGGAATATTTGTTCAGGCAGCTTGAGCTGATAGTTTGGGAAGGTTTGGTTTAAATGATCCTCCTTATTATATTGTATTTTATGCATTACTAAATATTCAGTCTTCATTAAACTTCTTTTTAATACATTATCATGAAGTAATCTTGGAACATTTAAAATCCTCAAATAACAGCATATAACTGTTTCATTGGCATCAAGGAATAGACGTGTGACCCTCTGCATGTTTGAATGTTATTTTGAAATGTGAGAAAAACAGAGGAAAAAAAAGTAAACTTCACACTGTATAAACTGCAACATTTTTCATTTTTTTTCCCCTTCATGTAGTTCTGATGGCAAATTAGAACATCTGTGTTTAGATGAGTTGAGAGCGCCATCTTGTGGCTGGAAAAACAATTAACCTTTTCCTGCAACTTTAATAGTGGATTTTATAGTATGAACTTTATTAGATAATTTACTAATAATCATTTTTTAGATTTATATATATATATTTTATATAATTTTGTTGAATTATTTGTTTACAATATATTTTTATATCATATTTATTTTATATACTATTAATTGTAAATAATTATAAACAAATATGACCATTGTTGGAACTTACTTGTGAACATCAATTTATGCATGTTTAATTTACTATTTTATGTTTTCCGAAATAAGATTCCTGATCGTTCTTCTTGTTGTATTTCAGGTATACTCTTTTCCACACTAGTGTTTGGACCTGCGTGTGGTTTCATCCTGGGATCTGTCTGTACCAACTTTTATGTGGATGTTTTGCTCATCGACACAAGTGAGTTTCGGGTCATTCTCTGTTTATCCAAACACAACACAAACAGTCAGTTTAGAACAATAGAAAACTGCTGCAAAGCATTTTGTTTCCTTACCAACAAGGCTCTTGAATCTTTTGAATAACTGTAACTGTCATGATCAATAATCAGTGAGTGGATCAACTGAAAAAGAAAGGTAAAAATAATTTGGCTTTCCTTTTACACATCAATTACACACGTTCACACTAAGCCTGCACGTTCTGTTACACTATATTTCTTTTAAACTAATAATAAGAAAGTATACTTTCAGTCTACTTTTTATGTACTTCTTAGAAATATAATTCAAATTACACTTAAGTACACTTAACTTGTACTGACAGAAAAGTCTATTTGGACAATAATTGTACTCAATCTTTTGATTGAAATATACAAAAGGTATGATTATGTATTCTGAGTATTGAGTAGCCTATTAAATACTTTTTTCACACAGTTTTACATACTGTCTTAGTGTCTTATAAACTTTTTTTTGTTGTTGAAAATGTTGATTTATAAAGAAAACGGATATGTTCTTAATTCTGAGTATATAAATTTTTGTATACTTCACTTGTAGTGTACATAGGAATTTACTTCAAATCTACTTAAAGTACAATTAAAGGTATTTCAAGGATAAAAATTAAAACCTAAATAGAAACGTTGTAGTATACTGTAAGTGCAAAAATAGTAAGGTATAATATAAAAAAGTATGATATTAAGTTCACTTAAAGAAAACTTACCAGTATACTTGCAGTATAAAACTATTAAACTAGTAGTTTACTGAGAGTATACTTCAAAGTGTACTTTCTAAAAAATGAGCTAGAAGTATTGTCACGACCGCTAGGGGTCGGCCGTAACAGGAAAAGAAACGAGTCTCACTACCAGAGAGATATAAAAAATTAATTACTTTTATTTCCAAAAGGGTTTAGCGTCAGGGGCAGACAAGGCCAAAATAACAAACAAAAACAATCTTTTGTTTAACCTCTCCAATTCCTAAAACAAAAGAAAACAAAATACAATTTAAACTTACCTACCTCCCTAAACCAAAAACAATGTGATAAGATAGATATATGAAATAATGGCGTCAAACCCCCTACCTCCCTTAATTTGGCAAAAATATATACAAAAATATTTACAGGAGATAAACGACAAGTCCCTAGCAAACAATGCAAAACAGAATCCAAAATGGTAGTCAAACAGGCGTGGGTCAGTTAACAAGAATAAACAGAGGTTCAAAATCACAAATCACTAAAAAGTGGCCCAATTTATTCCCAAATATTGAAATAGGACACTTACAAGTATACTAGTACTAGTACATTGATATTAGTATACTAAAAATATACTTAATCAACTGAACTTGAAGTATACTTCTCTATTGTAAGGGGTTCAGCAACACCTGACCCATTGCATCAAATGTAGCCATGAAATGGTGGGGGAAGACAAAGAAAAGAAAATTTGTAGCAGAATAAGACATACTGAATATCTCAATGGCTCAGTTTTGATGCCAGATGTCTGTGAATTGCATCATGTACTGTATTTTGTTTTGCAGTTTTAGTAGTGGGTTTTCACAAAATGACTACATATGTGAGAGAATTTTCATTCATCCAATATCTATTTATGTATTTATTTACCATCATGTATTTGCTTTTCTCAGCTGTCCTGAACATCACTCCAGATGACCCCCGTTGGATCGGTGCATGGTGGGGCGGCTTTCTCCTCTGCGGTGCCTTACTCTTCTTCTCGTCCATCTTCATGTTTGGTTTCCCCCAGTCCCTGCCCTGCAAGGAGGTGGAGGGAGTTCTGGAGATTGAACAGGCCATGCTGCCCTCATCTTTATCCCAGGATTATGAGAAATCCAAGGCCAGCAATGGAGTCGTGCAGAACCACCAGCCCAACAGCCTGTCCTGCTGCCAACAGCTCCGAGGTCTCAGTGCCAGTAGCTCACTATACACCGTTAAACAACCAAATTCACCATGTGATGTTCTATGCACTCATATTGAGACTAGTCTGCTTTGTCTGAGTAAGGTTACACTTGTCTTTAAAGGATAAGAAGAAATGCTTGTGACAAACACTGATGGTGGTCTTTTTCTTGAATAGCATGCATATGTTAAATTGAAGGCTTGGTCTGCTTAGATCCGTTTAACTGTACCGGACATGTTCCTCTATTTAAAAGTCTAATTATACTTAATGGTACACTGAGGAGGCAATTAGAGAATTAGAGTTAAGTCTTACTTATTAGCAGGCCCACACGAAATCTACGCCCGCAGGAGTTTGTAGAAAACCACAGAATTCGGGAATCAGTTGGATTGTGAAAAGTGGCCGTTACATACCAGAATGAAGCCAGGTGGTTGGAGCACTGTAGAAAAAATCATGTTCTGAAGAGTATTTTTGTAGAGTTTTCTTGAAACAAGAAGTAACTATGCGTGAGCTATTAAAGTTACACTAAGTAACTTTTGGCCCTCTAGTGGTTAAAAAACAAAACTTGTTCAGGTCTGTGTGGATGAATATGTTTTTTTATCACAACTAAAAGAGTGAGAGAGAGAGATTATCCTGCTGCTCATAAAACACTCAATACAAGGCTTAATAGATAAAACCAGTTTAAATGGAAAGGAACTCAAGCTGACTAGCTAAAGACGTCACTGTAGCTTTATCCATTAAAAGATACGGTTCTTCCTTGAAAATATATTCCAGCACTACAACCATAAATGAGCCTTCATAAAAGATAATGCTTTACTATGAACTCTGTTAGAAAGCTACATATGGTCATTTATCTGTTCAATAAAATATCACCTGTTGAGTAATAAAAACCCAATCTTCGTTCTCACCAATCAGTTCTCTTCATCTCTGAAAATCCAATGTTGATTCTGGTTTAATAACGAGCTGTCGCGTTCTCTTTTTGCCAGCAAACTCTCCTCTGTTCGGCGTTTGTTTAAATCGGGTGACTCCCCAGTTGTAGATTTAGCTGCTCCATGTCAACCTTTCTAGCTCATTGTGACAACTAACCTATCCCACTCAATGTTCCCTCTAATTTTTTTTCTTGCTGAGCAAAACTTTTTTCTATTGGGCAGACATTTTTCGCCACCTGAGCAAAAATATTCTTTATACCTGACCTGTACAGCATACGTACAAACACAATGGTTTCAACATTCAGTTGTAACTTTTAACTTGAATGTGCCATTTCTATTTTATTTGACCCTTGATGTAACTTATTGGTATTAAATCATATTTTCGAAAAACAAGCTTCTTAACAAATTGAGAAGTCACTAAATGAAGCACATTTTAGGTTACCTGTTTTTTTTTTTTTACAGTGCTGTTAACTGTACAGTCTTTACCAAGAAATCCTATGAAAGATAATTTACAAAATCTTCTGCAGGACAGTTCAATTCTTTACAATAACAGAATATAGTATGAAAGAAAAGTAAGCTGTTACACTGAGATGGTTTGGGAAAACCATAAAGTGTTTTTGTACAGTCAATTAATTGTATACAGGAAGCATTAAACCATCAAAGTTAAATGATTGTTTATTGCTTATGAATTTCCAATATTTTCTTTAGCAGGGGGTTTCAAACTTTTTAATGGCAAGGAGCCCTAAACAATACCCTCCCACTCCCTCACCAGACATGTGTCAAAGTAACCGGAGCAACATTTCTCTATTTACGGATATGACGAGACACGCAAGGGTGAGCGACTTATGTACGCAATATCCCTTGAAAACTAACATGTCTGGTCTAATATATTATAAACACTTATAATAGGCTTACCATAGTGAATCAGGGTAAGACAAAAATGTGTTTTGGAAGAAGTATTGATGATGTTTTTCCCCTCATTAATGAAATTTTGTTTATTTTGAATTTTAAAAAAGTTACATAGTGTACCTTTTAAGGGTGTTTTCCCCCCCAAAAAAAAATACAGAAATTTTTTACTGAAAAAAAAAACCAAGAATTGATAAGAATGTAAATGTGTACCTTGAAATGCAATGTAAGTCGCTTTGGAAAAAAGCGTCTGCCAAATGCATAAATGTAAATGTAATGTAAATTAACTGAAAAAAAAAAACACGACTAATTAAGCCATTTTATAGCAGTGAGGGGGTGAAAATTTGATTTATTAGATTGATTGCATTACATTTTGATAAAAGATTATGAAGAAAAACATTTTCTTTGGAGTAACCTGCATGGATTAAGCATGTGCAATAAGAATAGGAACATGAATTAAGATTTATTAAAATTCCAGATTTCCCCCCAGAATCAGCGTCAGTGTTATTTTAGTATAATTGATCAACTTTTATAGTTTTTGTTCAAAAGCTTTCAGCCTGAAAGACCTTTTACATGCTAACTGTCACTCTCTGGGTCCATACTGCTGTTCCTGTGTCTCGTCTGTTTGTCTGTAAATAGAGTAATTGTTATGCTGGTTTTGTTCTATACTTGTAAGGCTCTCATTTCGTACAACAGCAGCCATCAATCATGTAAGATCTGATTACATACTAGCTAACATGATGCATTACTAGCACAGTAGCCATGGCAGCACAAGCTAAAGGCATACTTTCAAGACAGTGCAGCAATAATGTAGGCAGCTGTTTTGTCCAACATGGTTAATGCATTTTTCAAAGTTTCGCCATCTGGTACGAATGCAGTCTCAGTCATGATGTTTCAGACACATCTGTCGAATAAATCCATCAAAATGACGGCTCCTCAGAATGTAGCCACAACTCTGCAGCACTTTAGACACGGAGCAGGAAATTAGAGGGTGAATGTCTGTTGATTGCATCATAAATCTGCAGTTTCTTCATTCAAGTCCAACTAACGTCAATCTTAACGTTTAGTGAATGTTTTAGTCTAGACTAGTCTGTCATTACTCTGTATTTTGGACTCACTTATAGAACTCTCTCTGTCTCTCTTCCACCCTCATCATTTCTCATTTTTCCTTTTTCACTCCAGTTATTCCCAAGGTGACCAAGCACCTCCTGTCAAACCCAGTGTTCACATGTATTGTCTTGGCTGCCTGTATGGAGATTGCTGTTGTCGCTGGCTTTGCTGCCTTCCTGGGCAAATATTTGGAGCAGCAGTTCAACCTCACCACCTCCTCTGCTAACCAGCTGTTGGGTGTGTATAAAACACATACTGGGTGCCCAGAGATTTCACCAAGGACAACATGTTCCTGGATCAACATCTTTGTTGATCCTGGAACAACGTTTCAGTCAACCAATCAGATTTGAGGGACATGTTTACAGTTTATGTCAAGTTTAGGCTTACAACCAGGGTTCGGTGCTTCTGCATCAGTGTTATTCATAAGATAAGTTATGGGTAGGGTTAGGTTTAAGGGTAGGGATGGGGTTAGGACAACATTTTTGGACAGGACATTTGTTATCAACAAAACCTGTTGATCCAGGAACATGTCTTACTTGGCAAAATCATGGTGGCCCTGCACATACACATACATTGGGCTACAAAATTCTGTGAAAGTACTATTTTGCAAATTGTTAACAGAAAAAAAATCAGTTTTCCCCTATTTTTATTATTATTATTTACTAGTGCTGTCAAATCGATTAATCGCATCTAACATGAAAGTTTGTAAATATATATGTGCGTGTGTGTGTGTATACAGTTGTGGTCAGAATTAATGGCACCCCTGGTAAATATTATCAAAAATGGCTGTAAAAAATAAATCTGCATTGTTTATCCTTTTGAAATTTCATTTTCAAATTTGCAAAAATCTAACCTTTCTTTGAAGTAAAAGAATAGGCGGGGGGGGGGGAATCACATTATGAAATAAATGTTTTTCTCCCAAACACGTTGGCCACAATTATTGGCACCCCTGGAATTTGTTACGAGTAAAATATCTCTGATGTATATTCCCATTAATATTTGCCTTTTTTTAACACACCAGGGTGACTAGGAACATGAAATTGTCTAGCTATGACTTCTTGTTTCACAGGAGTTTAAATATGAGGAAACACAAAGGCCAAATTCCCTTAAAATAGCTAAAGAGTTGAAAATCCCCATTTTTACCATCACGGCAATAATTAAAAAGTTCCAATCAACTAAAGAGGTTACGAATCTGCCAGGAACAGGATAGAGTTTGAGGAGGAAAGTTTGAGTGGCCAAAGACTATTCAAGGATCACAGATGGACAATTGCAGGGATTAGTTGAGTCTTGGGGTAAGGGTTAAAAAAAAAATCATCACCACATGTTGTTTGGGAGGGTTTCAAGAAAAATCCTCCTCGCTCATCCAAAAACAAACTCCAGCATATTCAGTTGTCAGACACGGCTGGATCTTCAAACGGCACAGGGTTTTATGGTCAAATGAAACTAAAAAAATAGCTTTTTGCCAGCAAACACACTAGATAGTTTGGTGCACACAAGGATAAAAAGTACCCCATGTGTACAATTTAATAAATCGTTGGATCGTTAATGTTGTGGGCATATTTTTCTGCTGGAGGTCCTGGACTTCTTGTTTAGAGACATGGCATCGTGGATTCTATCAAATGTCAACAGATAAAAAATCAAAACCTGACGGCTTCTGCTAGAAATCTTCTAATGGGCCGTGGTTGGATCTTCCATCAGGACAACGATCCAAAACAAACATCAAAATCAACACAAAAATGTGTAACAAAGCACAAAATGAAGCTTCTGCCATGACCGTCCCTCCAATCCCCTCACCTGAACTCTATAGAAGATGAGTGGGCTGAACTCAAGAGAAGAAGCACCAATATGTATCTGGGAATCTGAAGGATCTGGAGATGTTCTGTATGGAGGAATGGTCTCTGATCTCTTGTCAGGTGTTCTCTAAACTCATCAGGCATTATAGGAGAAGACTCAGAGCTGTTATCTTAGGAAAAGGAGGTTGCAAAAAGTATTTAATAAAAGGGTGCCAATAATTGTGGCCAACGTGTTTTGGAGAAAAACATTTATTTCATAATGTGATCCCCCCCCCCCCCCATTTTTAATTCTTTAACTTCAATGAAAGGACATTTTTTGAAAGAAAGATCAAAAGGATAAACAATGCAGATTTATTTTTTCCAGACAATTTTATCATATTTACCAGGGGTGCCATTAATTCTGACCACAACTGTGTATGTATATATATATATATATATATATATACATATACATACACACATATATTATATTTACAAACTTTCATGTTATATGCGATTAATTACGATTAATCGATTTGCCCGTCCTATTATTAAGTTATTTAATATCTTTTTTCCCAAATATTTAGTAGAATTTTGTTTCTATTTATTTATTTAATAAAATGTATTTCATTATTTCATTCATCTAATTTAATAGTTTTATTTCAAATTATTAGCAGAACAATTTTTGCGACGTCAATTTTTTGCAAAGTTGATTTTGAATCCCAGATTTTGAATCTCAGACTTTTGGAACTTCCTCTTCCATCTTGACACATTTAGCTTTGCCACATACAGAGAGTAAACCTGAAATTATGCAAATTACAGTTTATAATTATAGCATATGCATTTATTTATTTAGCAAAAGCTTTCATCCAAAGTGACTTACAAATGAGGAATTATACAACAAAAGTGCTTTATCAACATCAGAAGTTCCGCAATACAAGATAAAAGCACAAAGATAAAGGGTATTGACAGCAAAGCTTTATTTGTATCTAACACATTATTCTCTCTTCATAAACAGGGATGACAGCCATCCCGTGTGCCTGTCTGGGCATATTCTTAGGAGGTTTGCTGGTGAAGAAGCTGAACCTGTCTGCTCTGGGAGCCATACGAATGGCCATGCTGGTCAATCTGATCTCCACTGCGTGTTACGTGTCCTTCCTCTTCTTGGGCTGTGACACAGGACCTGTCGCTGGGGTGACCGTCGCCTATGGCAACGAGTACGGGCGCTCAGCTGCTTTTTTCTCCTCACAGCCTTGTTATTTTTCTGCCATTTATTCAGTCTTTGCAGAGAGGGTAGAGGATGACATGTCTGCATGCTGAAACCTCTATTTATGTGTAGTATGTATGTATGTATGGTCACTAGGATTGCATTTTATAGAATTCACTACTTTTGAGTATTTCAAGGGAACAGGAGAGAACGGATAAGTAATACATCACGATTTTTTTTACCAGGCCCACATGGAACCTGTGCTTAGTGAACTCCACAGATTTACTTAGTTCATACACCCGTCACTCACAATAATGGTGTGGATTTTGGTTCATCTCACTGACTGTAATGTTTTTAATGATCCTCTAGAAAAAAAAGTATATTTTTTAATTAAATAAAATATCAGAATTTTTTTTTTACTTTTTATTATTATTTGTGTAATTTAATTTTAATACAAATATATATATTTTTTACATTTTTAATAAACATTTTCACTGCAAATTATTAGCCATAAAAGTTTTCCCTATTATTATTATTATATACTTTAATACAATTTTGTATTATTTATTTGTATTATTATTATTATAATTACTATTCTATTCATCTGTCTGTCTGTCTATCTATCTATCTATCTATCTATCTATCTATCTATCTATCTGTCTGTCTGTCTTATACAGATTTTCAAATTTTAGCAGAAAAGTTGTCCATTTGACCCCCTATTTTTTTTATATATTTACTAATGTAATAGATTGTAGTTGTTGTTTTTTATCATTAGCCGGATATTTGCATGTTTGTTTTTCTAATCTAAGTTATTAGCAGAAGCAGAACCATTTTTGTGAAAACAGTTTTTAGTGAATTTTAATTTTTGAATCCTAGATTTGCATGACTTAAATTAAATTAAGAGCTTCAATCACACCCTATAGTCATCAGTCATTTTTACACATTTTTAACATTCTTTTCTGTATAAGACTGACGAACTGTATGAACTACATGCCTCCTCTTGATCGGCCGGTCAGCAGATGTTTCATTCATTCCGTTTGTTCACGAACGAGATATCAGTGCTGCTCTAATGTGTTCAGATTCAAAACACAGGCTCGTTTCGTATTTATTCAAATGTGTATAATATCACACTTTAATGGCCTTTCCCTCAAAATGAGAAGAAACTACAATGAAAAGTCAAACAATTCAATCTGGGCTGTATGTTAAACAAACAGGGGTGTAAATCCTGAAGCTTAGTCAGTGCATAGATGAACTCAGTGACAGTAAATATATAGAAAGTAACTCGATTCAAACAGGTGAATGTGTGTTTGTGTGTATATAGGACACTGCAAGTAGGCCAGAAGCCGGAAGCCCCCTGCATGAGTCATTGCAACTGCTACACTTCATCCGTCAGCCCCGTTTGTGGCTCCAATGGTGTGACCTACTTGTCCTCCTGTTTCGCTGGCTGCACCAGAGCCATCGGTACCGGACTACCGCCACCTCCTCGCTTTCAGGTCATTACCCATCTCATTTTCTACTCTCTCTCTTTCTTTCCTATTCGCTGACACATACTCTCTGTGTGGCAGCTTTTCTCGCTCTCCGCTCATTTCCTGGACAGCACATGTCCAGCGTGGGTCATTAGAACTGAAGCCCACATCGCTCATCAGATATACAGTATGTTGAAGAGGACACAGTCAGGCTTCTTAATGGCCACTGCACTCATTATCATACAAAGAGAATGGTTCATACTGGAATAGATGATTCCAAGACAACAGTCACACAACTACTTTCGTAATTGAACACTGGCTCACGACATTAATATATACCGTCGTCCGGTGGGTTTAATGAGCCTGTTCGTCCCGGGGGTCGTGGGTGCATCAGTTCTCTTTAGATAAAAGTGACTTTAGTACGTTTAGACGGCTAACTCGTTTATTTTATACCAGTCCATTTAATATTTACATTCTTTTTTTATTATTATTTTTAAATAAACCCTCATTTGAATTTCGATGTTGAATGGTGTCATATACAGTGTAGAACGTTTTAATATAGATTGTTATTATACTATCATATTCGCACAAATCAGAAGGTTACATTATTAGCATAATTACTTTTTTATTTTATGATTCAAATATGAACACACAAGTATTTGCTGGCTTTGTATTGAACATGATCATGTGTTTTTACACTGGCAGAACCTGACGAGATGCTCGTGCATCTCCGAATACAATGACTTTGCCACGGCTGTGCCAGGGAAATGCCCGCGCCCCGGCTGCCAGGAAGCCTTCCTCACGTTCCTGTGTGTGATCTGTGCCTGCAGTATGATCGGAGCAATGGCCCAGACACCCTCCGTCATCATCCTCATCAGGTGACTCTGTCCATCCATCTGTCTGTGATCGCACCAAGTACAACATGTTCCTGGATCAACATCTACGTTTCAGTCAACCAATCAGATTTGAGGGAGAAGTTTACAGTTTATGTCAAGTTTAGGCTTACAACCAGGGTTCGGTGCTTCTACATCAGTGTTATCCATAAGATAAGTTATGGGTAGGGTTAGGTTTAGGGGTAGGGATGGGGTTAGGACAACATTTTTGGACAATAATTTTGTTATCAACAAAACATGTTGTTCCAGGAACATGTCTTACTTGGCAAAATCATGGTGGCCCTGCACATACACATACATTGGGCTACAAAATTCTGTGAAAATGCTTCTTTTTTTTATTGCAAAAAATTATTACTTACTTTTATTATTATTTGTATTTCATTTTAAATACAATTCATTTTTCTAATACAGTTTTTCATTGCAAAGTATTTGCAGGAAGATTATATTTTTTTATAATGTGTGTGTGTGTGTGTGTGTATATAGGGCATATCTATCTATGTATCTATCTATCTGTCTTTGTATCTGTATCTGTCTATCTATCTATCTGTCTGTCTCTCTGTCTGACTATCTTTTTCACAATACCATTCAAAAGTCTGGGATTGGCAAGATTTGTAATGTTTTTGAAAGGCTCTTATGCATTTATTTGAGCAAAAATACAGTAAATCAATAATATTGTGAAATATTATTACTTTTTAAAATAACTGTTTATATTTTAAAATGTAATTTATTCCTGTGATGCAAAGCTGAATTTTCAGCATCATTACTCCAGTCATCAGTGTCACATGATCCTTCAGAAATGGTTTGATGCTCAAGACAAATGTTTTATTTGTTATCTCTTGCTGTTTTAGAACTGTGAGCCCAGAGCTGAAGTCATATGCCCTTGGAGTTCTTTTTCTGTTACTGCGACTGTTAGGTGAGATATCACAGCACAGCACAATCACATTTACAACTGAAACTGTATATTCAGCAGGGGAATCTGTTTGCCTCACTGAAATTGAAAGTAGGCTAAAAGAAGCATATTGAAGACTCAATTTCCTTGCTATCCAAACGTTGTGGACAAGATTATTTGCCACTTCTGTTAAAAAAACAATCGTTTTTTATCAGTAAAAGTTCTCAAATTGCTCTATTATTTAGAAAATTGAGACTTTGTTCATTCCTTTAACATATACATGATATTGCAAAATATGTGTAGAAGGGTGTGTTGAAAACAGGCGCGCTCAACTCCCAATACGTTTTATGGGTGCGAGTTATAAAACAGTAATCAAAGAAGGGTGTGTTCACACCTGTTCAGTTCTTTTGGTCCAGACTAAAAAAGAAAACAATGCTTCAACAATGCTTTGTGCTAAACGTGGTCATTTTATGGTTAAAGAGCTTGTTAAGAAGTAAAAAAGCACCAGCATTCCTCCATTGCACACACAAGCGAAGATCTTCTGCAAGGAGACGGTAGTTGTGCCAAACTGCATTGGGCAACATGATGAGAAGAAACAGCCATCCTTGAGCATTCTCAGGGTTCCCACTCGTCCTGGAAAACCTTGAAAACCTGGATAATTGATGACAAACTTTCCAGTCATGGAAAACATATGGAAAATTAGAGAAAGTGTAAAATGTCCTGGAAAATCTTGTTGTTGTCCTGGAAAATTATTTTTTTTAAAGTTATTCGTTTTTTATTTAGGCGAGAACAAAGAGTTTTTCACTGGCCAAAAACAATTACCGTTAGTTGTTGAAAGTACAATGTTCTGGAATGGTGAGTTTTGACATGTGAGAATAGTATTTTAAATGATGATGTTTAGTCTTGTGTTGCCACTTGCAGCAGTTAGCTAATGCTATTAACTGCTCAAATGTATGCAGCGAATGTTAAATGGTAAGCAGCTACCTAATTCAGTATCTTGCTAACTAATAATTTTGAAGTGATTATAAAGTCAATAAGATATTAATTGTGCACTGTATCCAGCTTCATTGATTATAACAGGAGTTTTCACAACAGTGCTGAACTCTGTGAGGTAGCGCTGAAGTGATTGACAGCTGTAGTGATTAAAAAAGGAATGCTCTTTGTTTGCTATCTGTATATAACCCATTCGCAGTTTGAAAAAAGTTTTATTTTTCATGCTGCTATGTATATACACACTGCAAAGTTTTGGGAACGACGACTAACTTATTTAAATGCGGGATTGAATTCAAAATTTTATTGATTGACATGGTGATAACCAGCATTGGATGGGACAAAAAATTCTGATGTCAAAATAGATGTGTGCATTAAGTGTAAATGCTCGTCCACACGAAGACACGTTTAGCTGTATACATAAAAACTTTGTATCTTATCAGCGTTTCGATACAAACAGATCCGGAGTTTTGGGATCCTAAAACGCCGGATAAAAACTAAAACGTACATTGGACATAGGACTAAGACTAAATAAATAAAAAAATTGCTTACAAAATGCATGACACTAACACTAATAGAAAGGCACTCTGCATCTGCTAGACTACAAGGTAGTGGAGGGGTCTACAGTTAAAGGTTGTACTACTTTAATTTAGAGTGTGTGCTGCAGGCTATTGAGAATATTGAGCTGAAGCTTGACTTTACAAAATTTTATCGCAAATCAAATCGCAATATCTGTCAGAAAAATCGCAATTAGATATTTTCCCCAAATCGCACAGCCCTAGCTTCCATAGTCATAATGTATGATTAAGAGCTCATATTAAAAAGTGATTTTATAGTTAAGTCATGGCAATAAACTGTACGCCTTTTAAAGATTTAGAGAGCAATATATTACTTTAGGGCGTGATCCTTGTCTTTTTTTCCCGTTATAGTACAATGATGTCCTGAAGACCTGGAAAATGATTGCTGAAAAAGAGTGGGAACCCTGATTCTGTCCTTTTAAGGGTCACATCTTGTGACATCACATCCTGTTTTTGGTTTGTTTAGATGCCTTTTGTCCATGTTGCTTTCATATCTCAGCCAAACCGCATCAAGAGTTTGTTTAGAAGCTCTGAAAAGGTGGGTCTCGGTCCGTTTGTTTGATGCACGCCAGGCTTCGGATGGCGTTCACACTTATTTAAATGAGCCACATTAAAGCAGCACTAAGTAGGAATTCCGTTTTTGTCAAACAGCGACCCCTAGAGTCGCTGTGGAGCACTTGTACTGTCGTGAATAGCACTCACGCAGAGATGGCTCTCTGCACTCATGGCCTGATCCCCTCCCCCTGTACACCGGTACCTGTTCAGTAGGATGGACGCTGTAACGAATGGAAATAAGGTATGGCCCCTTTAAGAGCTGCGCACGCGCCTTGTTTAACTGTCGGCAGTCTGTATTGTATGTGCACCTCGAACACCACATGTATACGGCGCCGGGTTATTTCTGTTTGATGCTCATTTTATCAGAATTTTATCAGATCTGTCAGACCAGGGGGGTGCGAGACGACCACCATTCAACACGAAATCAGTAATATAAACATTACAATGACTCCAAAGCTGTTCGGTTAAGCTAAAAAAGTTACTTAGTTCACCTTTAACAGAGCAATCGCACCAGGGTTTGTTTTAATCCAACCAAACCTGCCAAGTGTGAACAACACCCTAAGTGAAGTTAAAATGTTATAATGAAATGTTATTTTGTCTTCAAAATCAATTACGCATTATCACAGCAACTCAATCCATCTTGCAGGGTTCATTCCCCCTCCTTTGATATTTGGTGCGGGGATTGACTCGACATGCCTTTTCTGGAGCACCGAGTGCGGGGAGAGAGGTGCCTGTCTGCTGTACGACAACGTGACCTACCGCCACCTGTACGTCGGCATGGCCATCGTTCTCAAAATTGTGGCATTCCTCCTCTACACAACCACCTGGCAATGCTTGCGCAGAAACTACAAGAAATACATTAAAAACCACGAGGGATATGTCACGCCCACAGAAATGATCTCGTCCAGCATGAACCTGGACAGTCTCGGTAAGGACAGCAGTCAAAGCCAAGTCAACAGGACTAAATTTATATATAACCTGGAGGATCATGAGTGGTGTGAAAACATGGAGTCCGTTTTATAGAGGGTTCACACACACACACACATGCTGATTCAAGCATCATTCTAATCAATGATCGTCCTTTGAGTTTAGCTCTTGTTCCAGGATGTGCAGGACTGTTGTTGCACTTTATTGTAAACTCATTCAAACTCTTCTACTGGGTCCATCTTGTTTTTAGAAGTACTGTTTCTCCAGTGCCAGTAAAATGTTGTAGTAGTTAGTTGAAGGCGTCTACTTGGTTGCCTCACTGTTTCATTGACTGGTAGCTGGTTTGTTCAATTTGCAGACATGATCATACACAAATGCATACTTCACAAATGAAGTAAAAAGCTAACTAAAATGAACCATTTTAAATTGTTATCCATCATCAGGCTAGTTGATTATGTTCTTGGGCTCTATCCAATCTGGTATTTAATACATCACAATTGTCAATTCTAATATACAGGATCATTCTATTGTATAGCCTACATACAGAGATTTTCTATATGAAAACTATATCAATTATTTCTTAAAGCGTTCAAAAGGGTGTTTGAGAGATGTTTTTCTTTCCAAGTGCTTTTTGCAGCATTTGCTCTCTGCTGTTAATTTATATTGTTTATTAAAGGGGCTACGTGTACGAATTCTCACGTATTAATCGCTTTTTATTGGCAATGTGTGAACAGCTTGTAATCAAACTTAAAAAGCGAGACATCTAGGTTGCCTATGAAAGCCTGTAGACTGATTTTCATGTGGACTCGGACCGGTTTTACCGGGAAAATCTAAAGGATGTGACGGTTACGCGCACTCCCGAGAATCTCTGTTCCGTTTAATGACACATGAAATGAATGTTTATACAATAATACGAAAGAGCTATTCTGTACTGTAATGTCAATGTGTCATGCAAATAAAAGGTATTAATTCAAACTATATAGTCTCGCATATCCAGATCTATATAGTCTATAGTCTTAAATATACTTTATAATCAAACTATCCACGTCGTTATGGTCAGATACTTTCTTAACTGCGGCCATTTTAGTTGTGTGTTTATTTTGTTATTGAGAGGAAAGCGCGCAGCACATATTTACAAATTAATCTAAACGTCTCTAAATGGAATCACGTTCAGTCTCTTGCAAGAGCAATAAGTTGCTGGCTGCAGTTCACTTAACGGCCACTGATGTCGCTAATAAGGGTTTCTGAATTCTACATATAGCCCCTTTAAGGCCTAAAATGTCTTAATTTGTAAAGGTTATTGATACTGTACATTATTGGCATCTTTATACATTTGTGCAATAGTGGGAGAGCGTATTTGAAAAAAGTTGTTTGGCTATTATGAATATATGTTTTTTCTTTGTAAGATGTTTGTCATTAGATTTTGTTTTGGATTATGAAGACAACTATAGAGAATGAGACTGTTTATGCATAGTTTTATTAATGAATATAAGAATGCCTCTTTATTCAGATGACAATAATGGCATGTTCGTGACTAGAGGAAGAGGAATATTGTGACAGCATGACTGACATCAGAGAGATGTTTTGGGGAAAAGACCATTTTATTAAATGGCAGAAGACCAATGTCATTCAAGTTTTGCTCTGATCTCACTGTAAGGCAAATAACATTCAGGCTGGGCCTTGGTATTTATGAGTTGGATGAAGAATGACATTTTATACACTTATAATATTACATGTAAAGTGTGTTTTAGCTTTGGGATGAGATTAAACGATTTTTTTCCCCACTTCACTGCAATAAGACATGGCACTGTGCGCATGCTGTTTCTTCAGCAGTTTAGAGATAGTGCTGTATACAAAAGACACAGTGGAACAACAACAAAAGCAGTGTACTTTTCATATAATTTTTTTATGCCAAAATAACTTTTATTTTATTCTGCAAATAAATTATTTTTCAGAAAATCTCAGATTTGTCTGGTTTTTTTTTAATAATAACAAAAAAGCTTCATACAAATAAAGGTATGACTTTTTTGCCGACAATAACCCTTTCCACTGAAATAATGAACCATACATACAAATATTAATGTAATAATAAATAAATAAACCAAATAGGTATAAACTTTAGGATAATGTACACATTTACAAATTAACATAATATGCTTGTAGGAAAAATAAATAATAATAATAATGAATAAAAAATTCATAACTAATATAGGCTAATACAAATCAAATCTCTATGGTTCTTTTTGAAACAAATAAAACATTTTTTTAGACTTGATAGATGCCCTTCTGTGTAAGATTAGTTTTTAAAATATTACTTAAGGGTAATAAATTATGCTCTTTTTACACAGGTAGCAAAAAGCAAACTACTACAGCCCAATTTTTTTATTATAGTAACATATTAAATGTGCGGAATTTACTCTGATATAAAAAAATTATATTAATATGCACTAGGATTTTTTTCTCTGAATTACTGAACATCACCAATAATAATAAGAGGATGTATTATACTAGATGTAAATGGACCCAATTTGGTTATTTATAAAATCTAGGTCAAAATGAAGAGAAGATGACTACAAGCCATTTGACTGCTCGTGTGAAGAGATTCAGAATGGCTTTTTTTGCATTTCTGTTTTTCTGCTTCTTCTATTAGCATTTCCACCTGGGTGTTTTTAAGGACACGTTTTTTTCCGTACAACCTTAAGCTGGTCCTGAAAAAAAGAAACCGCTTGATTTATTGTGCATATGAAAGTGAAAAGCACAATATTCACCATGGACTTTTGAAATGAAACTCAGTGGCCCATCTCCAACAGCAGAAGCAATATTGGTAAAAAGGCTTTCTTTTGATACCTGTCATAGAAACAGATGCTCTTTACAACAAAAGGTCATATATAAACCTGATAACTAAATAAATGAATGGACACCAAATGTCAGGCTCTATGGAATCACCGTAGAGATTTATACTGAGCATTCGAACTGAAATCCATGTCTGATTTATGAGTATTTATCTTCCATCAGCTTTTAACAGTGTCTCTTTAAGTGAGGTGACACATATACTGTGTTAATCTACCCTGGTGTATAAGAAGATTAAAGTCTTTATTTGATGTGCATGGCTTAGATTCCCTTTTGCAGGCTTGACAGATAAACGAAGAATCAGTGGAAGGAGAGTACGATTTGAGACTTGAGGGAAAGAGACCCATTAACTAATAGAGGGACTCAAATGCTGAAAATGATATGCAGCAGTGCTTTTTTAGTATAATTTATATAGGTACTACTATAGTTTTTGTTAATGTTTTTTAATCAAATGTTCATTTTTATATTTTCTGTTTTCATGTTCATTTTAGTTAAAGTTTTTGTCATCTTTTTGAAATATATATTTTCTATATTATATTATCTATATATTTTTGTGTTTTGTTAATATGTGTGTGTATATATATATATAGGATTATTTATTATTTTAATAATGTTTAGTTTTAGTTTATTTAGTTTTAGTTATTTTACTGCGTCAACTAAACGGGAATGTGAAATTATGCCTTGGCAACTAGCTGAGTTTTTTATTATTAATGTTTATTTTATTTCCAACGCTATCTCACGACCAATTCGAACGAATCCGTACTAGTGATTAAAAGGTGGCTAATTCATACGACCTCACTCGTACGAATTCGTACATTTGTCTAAACCCGCGTGATGGGTAGGCTTAGGGGCGGGGTCACGGGTAGGTCATTCGTACGAATTCATACGAATTTGGTAACTCGTGAAATATGTACGAATTAGCAAAAATCGTACGAATTTGTACGAGTGAGGTCGTATGAATTAGTACGAATTAGCCACCTCGTAAAATTCGTACGAATTACCGTGATTTCAAGTAAGAATTTTTTTTTTTTTTTTTAATGGGTTTAGCTTTAGTTAACGATAATAGCCCTGATTTTCAAAGCATTTTACTTATTTTACTTATTACGAAATTCACTTATAAGTAACAAAATGAAGGCAATATTCACTGAATAATGTTCTAAATATTTATTTATAGCATGATGTCCTGTTCATCAGCACCTGCAGGAGACAAAAAACATCTGCCAAGACTACAAAAGCTTACTCTTGTTAAAAATATGCTTCACTGTCGTCAACACTGACATCTCAAACACGGCTTTGGTGTTGCTCAGTTCCCACTTTCAGACATCTCAGAGGATCCAAACTCAGGAGGGATGATGATATGACAAGATTATTTATCGGGGTTATTATTGTCAGCGAATAGAGAGCTAAATTGATGTATAATAATAACACAACACAGAGAGCTACTTAATTTGCTTACCATATCAAATGTCTGACTCTGTAACACTTTATTTTAGTGTCCTTGTTACACTAAAGTAATAACTATAAATTATGCATAATTCGCCTTTGGCTAGGCCCCGCCCCCCTTAGTTACTGTTGCTACGTCCGACAAACAAACTTCATCTGGGCTCTGGTATCAACATGGCTTATGCTGTGACAGCTCTTCCTGCTGAAATTTTATCAAACTTTTATAAAGCAGCAAATAAAGTGTCCGAATGAAGTAGTCAAAAGGGGCTGCGATATACGTTTGAAGGCATACGTTCATGACATACAGGTGAAACGCAAGGAACAACAAGGCATCCAAAATAGAGGCAATGCATACCGGTCACAGTCAAAAAATGAACCACCGCATATCGTACTAATCGAGACGGAGGCTGGGACTAACAATATCAAGGAGCAACACGGTTCATGCAAAGCTGGGTAGGTCTCTATTCACTTCTATAATCGTTATTACAAAGCAAACGGACTACGCGAGTATAACGTTGTATTTATTAGCAGCGTGTGCGCTAGACGACACTTTTAGTTGTCAGGATTTGACTTCGGTTTTGGGAAGGGAAAAAAACGCACACCCCCCTCCAACCTCTCTGGGAAACGCGTATCTGTGTTACAAATGCCCCAGGCACAACGTTTAACCATATTTTTGATAAAACTACGACGGTAATAGCCTGCCGAGACCAAAAATACGAGACGGCTGTGTTAAAGTCAATGGAGCGCTGTGAAAAAGTGTCGGACCTCTGTGGGAGCTCGTTCTTGGCTGCGCTGTGATTGGTCAATCTACATTCTAGGGTGTGGCTTAGCCAAAGGCGAATTACATGCAACTAACCATAAACCAATCCCTAACCCTAAAGTAAGTACATGTAGTTCATTAGTATAACTCAGGCTGTATGGTCTGGCATGTGTGTGTTTACGTTTATATGCATGTTGCATTCCTTTGGCATTGTTTCACATAACAATCCATCACTGCTATGGCTATATCCCATTAAACTGTGCGTAATGAATCTGAGGATTCATTACAGGGCCTAATTTCTCAGGAGACTGGTGTGT